ACTTCCTGGCGACCGAGTCCCCCAAGTCCCTTTCAGCATGGCTGGTCTCCAGCGTCTCATCGCCCAGTCTGTATGTATAGCCAAATGCTGACCATCATTTGTGATTTCTAATGATTTTACTCCTGCTAGTCTTCATCTCACAAGGGAAAAGATTTCTTGGGCAAGGTCTGGGTAGATATCACCCCGGGATGGAGAGGTGAAGTGGCTTTTCCACATCTGCAAGGTCTGTAACTAATGAGAATCTTAATACTTAACTGCATTCTGTTATTGCAAATTAAATGAGAGGAGGTGAGAGTGGGCCAGACACAAGAGACAAAGCAAGCCCTAGGAAAAACGGAGCTCCCTGCTGCATAATCACTACCCACTTTTCCCTTTGTTCACATACACAAAAGTGGAGTAGATCAGTTTAAACAGCAGACTTCTAGTTCACCTAAGCCGCATCCAAAGCATTGTTCATGGCCTGTCACTAACACCTCACCTGGAGGCAGCACCGCTGAGAGCTGCATCAGGACACTGGCAGTATGTGATTGAGAGGAGGCTGTGCTTAAGTAAGTGAAGGCTGGTCACTCTTCTCTTTACCAAAATAAAAAAGGGCATTACATATTAAATATTTTCACCATCCACTTCTAACACATGATAATTTGAATGACTGGATTTGCAGGAGTCTAGCTGTATCCTCAAATCTAGTCCATAAACCCAGGTTTCTTTCATCATGCTTCCCTTTTTGCTCCTTTCCCATTTCTTCCAATTGTTTTACCCACCCATATCCCACAGTTTCTTAATTTAGGTAAATTTTTTTGGGAAGCGAGGCTTATTAAATCTCTGTATAGTACCTAGAGCCATGACATCCAGCACTGCCCTGCCGGCCCTCTTGTGCTGGCAGAACCACAGTAAAACTGTGCAGGCAAACTATTAAGAAATCGCCTGTCTTTTATATTTCAACAGTGGTGACTTCATCCACTCGTGGATTATCACAGCCTGAAACAGTATCTGTAGTAATTCAAGTTCTTTCTCAAATTCACTTCTTTCCTCAGGGCAGCTCATGTTGCCATCGTTACACAAAGATAAAGCTTTAGTAAGGTAACATCTACTAATCCTAGTCAAGGAACAGGCTCCAACAATGTCGGGTACTGTACCTATGCCAGATGCAGAGGATGAAACTATTTAGGGCTCTCAAAACTTCAAGAAGACATTAAAAAAAAAAAAAAAAGAAGAAGAAGAAGTAGAGTCATAGGGCTGCCTGAAGCATTCAGACCTGCTAGAAACATAGCAGCTGCCATGCTATGGATCTATGGAGATGTTGGAAACCTGAAAGTTTCTCAGTTTGATAAAATAATACAAAATATGCAGCACTTATACTGCAAAAAACAATGAAAGGTCTGAAGACATCTTGCACTATTATGTTTGCTAACCAGATTTCACTTCCTCAGCAACAACTCAGGCTTACAGAAAGCAGCCCAAGAGTTGCAGGAATGACCCACTTCCATTCTGACAGTACCAGGATTTATTATTGCTAACACCACGATGTTCTGCAAAAGGCAATTTTCGCTTTCCATTTGAAATGCAAATTTTCTGTCATCTCTGCTGTGACATGTAATTTTCCTGGGGAAGGGTTTGGTAAAATGACTGGTGCTGTATTTTTTCTCTGCAGTCAGTGGTAGTGGCATGCTCCCAAGACATGCTCCACTGGGCTCGCAGGAGGGGCCTCCTGCAGGGAAAAGTACTTTGCTATAGCATATACCAGTTGGGTGATCTACACTCACAGCTTCTAGATAGCATTGGTAATGTTGTTTTTTTTAAACAACTTCATTGGTGCCTTAGCCTATATGCTGCTGTTTACATCTCCGTGAAGGGGGGAACAGAGGAAGAGCTCACACAGGCTCTAAACTACAGCTGGGGCTTTCTTGCAGTTTGGGAACACCTGGAAAAGTGAGCTCCGGCCCTCCTCCTCCTTCCCCTTCCTCCTTGTGGACACAAAGACACCATCTGCTGTGGGTCCACCTCTCCAGAGCTGCCTGGGATGGCACATGGCTCCACGGTGGTTGGCGCAGATGCACACCACTCAGCGCAGGATGCTTTTACATTGTCAGCTTGACTCCTTCTCACCATAAGTTTGCAAGGTCCAGCTGAAAACACCCTTCTCTTAGGGTTTTTTAGTCACTTACAGAGCATTTTCTAACAATGCGCCAAATGCCAGTTTCTGTTTCAGGAAAGAGAGAAATAAGTGTTAGCTTCTAGGGCTATGGCATAGGGTGGGGAAGACTAAGCAGTGTAACAATAGCAGGACTTGTGCAACCCATTCTGTAAGCCCTCGCCTGCGGTGTCACCAGAGGATGTCTGCAGTCATAGGCACGGCCTGTCGCAGTGGCCTCGTCTGGCCAAGCAGCTGTGTCGCAGCTGAGGGTCCTGCTGATAAGACATAGATATTGTGCCTTTTAGAGTTTGCAGTTATTGGTATTCGTTTGAGGTGGAGCCCATCCCACAAAGGCCTACTCTTCTGTCTTTCATGACCACCGCTGAACATTATCTTATCTGTTAGATGGAATAGCAGCTTATCTCCCACCGTAAATGGCTTTAACTTCCCGTTCCACCAGCACTCAGAAGAGCAGAATCCAACTACCAGAAATCCAAGAACGGAGCTCCGGGAAAAGCTGATAGAGCAACAGCGA